TTGAGAAGGTTCCTGATACCATCCCTGTGCATTCCACTGTTTCGGCGTGTATGTGAACACATTTGGGACTAACAGGGTTTACTAGAATCCCACTACTCCACCACAGAGTCACCGCAGTAGACGTTAGATGAGCGCTGTCGCTCTGCGGCACTTGTTTTATATTTTCATTATTTTGCAATAATAAATTATTAGAAATTGCCAATGAATACTAAATGGGGAATAGACTAGAGAGTCTAGAGAGTATATATACACTGCACAGTCGCTGAGTAACATTGGTACCGTGAGTAACACCAGAGCATATAAATCGGTGATTTATATACTCTGGTAACACTCCACAGTATATAGTGTAGTGCCGCCATCTATTGGAGGAAAAAAGTGGTATCGAAGTGGAATCGAAAATACGGGGAAAAATATCGAGGATCGAATCGAGGGAAGAGAATCTCGATCCGATTCGATTTCGGTGAATCGTTACAGCCCTAGTAGGTAGTACGACATTGGTGTTGCAAGTCTAGTAGAGTGAGAGTGGATATTAGAGGTTCTGTTGAAGTAGTTATGAAAAAGATCAGGTAGTTCATTGTTAGTGAATCTGTACATAAGTTTAGCTAGTTCCAGTTGATGGATTTCAGAACGTTTTAATATTCCAAGTTTGAAAAAATTGAGCGTAGCATGATCTCTAGGCCCTGCAAAGGTCATGTAGTTTATTATTTTGTTATGTGTCTTGTTTACTGGGTGTAATAATGATTTGGTTGCTGATCCCCAGCTTAGTGTGGCATTAAGTAGATACGGGTAAACTAATGAGAAGTATATCATACGTACGTTGATATTGACGTAATGTCGTAACTTGGAGATAATTCCAGCTGATTTCGCGATTTATGTGATTTCGCGTATTAAAATGATAGTCCCACTTTAAATGGTGGTCAAAGCAGACGCCTAAGTATTTTATGTTAGTAGAACTCTGCAGCTTGTAGTCACCAACCCAAGTACCGAGAAACCGTAATTTCTCGTCTTCTTTCTAAATTCGTACGATTTCTTTTCTTTTTGTCAATAACTATAAGCATATATTTGGTTTTCTCATAATTCAGAGAGAGTTTGTTAGCATGCAACCATCTCATAATACGTGCAATTCAATGTTTATTATATTTTTAAGGTCTCTTACGTTATGACTAGTCATAAATAGGTTAGTGTCATCCTATTCATCAATCAAATATCAAAATTAACATTCAAGGATAGTTTGAGACATATGTGCTACATGAATCTGGGGTGCTAAATTAGGCTTGAGCCCTAATTTCTTTCTAATTTCTATATCTAAAAGTAAAACTGTAAAACAGCGTCATATTATAAAAAAATTGGTTAGTGTGTTCATAGATATATATACAAACACAGTGTATTTGTAACACAGTGTACACAGTTGTAACACGGTGTACAACACAGTGTGTTTGTATATATCTATGGTGTGTTACAACTTACATCCTCAGATCCTGCACTCCCCCCCCCCACGTTGCTGTGTTGAATTTCCTGCAGAAATCAGGGGTCGAAATAAGCGATGGTCCGATGGTCCTGGGTCATCAAATAATCAGGAGGACCATCAGATTTTCAAAGTCAATGGTCCGACGAACCATTGAATATTTTGAACTGCTTGGCTGAAGGAATGTTAACTGTGTTAAATGAATGAATGTGCTTCTAAGAAATATTTGAGACATACTATATTCCGGTGTTATGGGTTCAACTAAATTCTACTGAAACAACTTTATTAACCAATATACTATTAAAGTGAATAAACAATTATGGTATCGTTTGATACATTCATTGTAGGTGAATAATTAAACCATTTTATCCCCATCAAAAATCTCTTTCTTACGCTTGCACACCGCATTACTTTTAGAGAACGATTTGAAATTTAGGAGGACCATCTCAATTTCAAACTAGATGGTCCTGTGGACCATCTCTTTTTTATCTCCTTATTTCTACCCCTGGAAATGGAAGACAGTATCATTGTAAACTCCAACACACTACAAAAAATTTCTTTGGCACAATTTATTGGTTTATTCTGACTAGGGCTAAGACTTCCTAAGAATGTCCAATTCCAAGGGAGTACCCCCAAAAAAAACGGAGAGAGACAGAAAAATATGACAGATTCACTGATAGTAGCAGTATCACTATCACTATCAGGAACCTCAACAGCAGCAACCTCGTCCGGCTGCGAAGGTGCACCCTGGAGCATTTCATTCAGGGCGCTTCCGCAACCGGACGAAGTGGCCGTTGTAACTCTACTCTGTTGGGTTACATATTTGTATCTATAATAGTAATCGCTCATTGCATTGCTTCCCATTTATATCGTTTATGCTTTTGTTTGGTCTTTACATCGTGTACGTGTTATTTTCAGTGAAGTGTTCAAGGCAAGAGATAAGAAAACAAAGAAACTTGTTGCTCTTAAAAAGATTCTTATGGACAATGAGAAAGAAGGCGTAAGTTTATATGTCTGCGTGCGTGTGTGAGAGCACTCCTGTATGCTTGTGTGCGTGTGTGGGTGCTTGCATCAGTGCAGCAGGAAGGGGATGCTGTGTGTCTGGCGTGTATACAAATATAATGAAGAGATTCATAATTCAATTCACAATTCATCTCTGGAATGTATGCATTAATTTTGTCCACTTAATCTTGAGCTTGTTGTACTAACGTAGAGCATTGGATTTGTTATTCGAGCTATATATATTACATTGTTAAGTTACAAGTCAGTTATTTAAAAAATCAGTTCATTGTGCATTGCAGTTTCCAATCACCGCTTTAAGAGAAATAAAGATCCTGCAGCTGCTTTATCATGAGAATGTAGTACAATTGATTGAGATATGTAGAACAAAAGGTAAGTACATACTGAGTACATACATACTGAGGCATATTTATATCATTATCTTCTACGTTGATGTGTTTTTTTTTTAAACAATCTGCCGGTATATTGAGTTTGGGTTTTGTTAGAAATTGGCAAAGCATATAATTGTAGATATAACAGTTTATTTTATATATATGCAAGGACTCTTGTGAGTTGTGAAAATAATTGTTTGTATAATTTTGCCTGTAGATTGTTCAGAGTTTGGAATTGATTTGAAAGAAGCGGCATACATATCGTAACCCTAAGAACATTTTTCTTTTCCAGCAACACAATTCAATCGTAACAAAAGTACCTTCTACTTGGTGTTTGAGTTCTGTGAGCATGACTTAGCAGGCCTACTTAGCAATTTTAATGTAAAGTTTTCTCTCGGTGAGATCAAGAAGGTAATGCAGCAGCTGTTGAATGGACTTTACTTCATTCATAGCAACAAGGTAAATAGTTCTAATAATTGCATATATCTACAATCATTTTAGGTGTCTCTATAATTGATTTTATTTTTCTCCATAATTGCCACATGATGGCGCCACTAGGTACATTTGATTGCTTATGTACAACAAAATAAAAATGGGAATAATTGAAGATTACTGTTGTTTTTAAGCTTAATATTATGTTTTACACTTTATAGATTTTGCATCGGGATATGAAAGCTGCAAATATCCTCATCACCAAAAACGGTCTGTTGAAATTGGCCGATTTTGGATTGGCACGAGCATTCAGCATTCCTAAACCTCAACTACCTAATAGATACACAAATCGTGTTGTTACGTTATGGTACCGGCCACCAGAGCTACTGCTAGGTAAGATCCAAATATAATTCTATTTATTATTTATTATTTCTGTACTTTCTAAGCATGTATTAGCAGCATGTAAAGCTAACTAGATACAGAGTGTGGCTATCTAACACCACACTAGAATAATTGACAGCTTGTGGATGTGTGTACTATATAATTATATGCTACTACGTGCACGCACGCACACGTACATATGTGTACTGGAATAATATATGTACATATGTGCACTATATATATATACTACAGGAGTTAATAAAGACAAATTATGTTATTATTAACTCCTGATATACTACTATATCCCATATAGATACGCGCACGTACACACTCACGCACGCACGTATACGTACACATACATACATGTGCACTGGTATACTCTATGTACACATATGTGCACTATTTATATATACTATTATATCCCATATAGATACACGCACGGACGTACGCACGTACGCATACATACATGTGCACTGGTATACTATATGTACATGTGTGCACTATATATATATACTACTATATCCCATATAGATACGCGCACGTACGCACGCACGTATACGTACACATACATACATGTGCACTGGTATACTATATGTACATCATGTGTGCGCTATATATATATACTACTATATCCCATATAGATACGCACACGCACGCACGCACGTATACGTACACATATGATACGAATCACGCTATGTTATTAAGTTGTT